AAGGCTAAGGGTCGTATGTTTCTTTCTCACATGTAACAGCTAGAGGAGAAAAAGGAAAAGAAAGGGTGAGGCAGGGGTCTCATGAAAATCAAAGAGAGATAAGTAAAGAGACCAGGGTGTGGGAGGAGGAACTGAAGTGGGAATTGCTGCAGAATGATATTGGACAAATTATATAGCTATATTATGTGTGTATATGAATATGTAACAACAAATCCCACCACTGTATATAACTATAATGCACGGATTTTAAAAAGTGGAAAAAAAAAATAAAATAGGCTTGGGATCTAGCTCAGTGGTAGCATGCTTGCCTGGCATATTCGAGGCCCTGGGTTCAATCCCTAGTCCCATGAAAACAAAAAAAGAATAAAAGTTCTATTCCTTGATAAAATGGCTCCTATTTTCCAATTTAAAAAAACCACCTCAAGAATTCTGGAAAACTAGAGTTTCCTAAGCTACCTGTAGAAAAGGCAACAGCTGGGAGAGCAGGCAGCAGTCACCCGGCCACTTCACTGTACTCATCATAATCATCTATCCAGAGCACATGATGGGGACACATGCACATACATGTTTGGAAATGATTTTATTTTGCAAAAGTAATTATTTTACTTCTGATCATGAATTGAAGTCTGCACTGCTTTAATCCAGAAATATTTCCTATTATATTTACATTTTATCAACACTTAAGGTACCCTAAAATCAAAATGAGCAGAAAAAGAACATGAGGACTGAGACGCGTTTCAACCACTGGACCCCTGAAGAGTCCGCCATGGTTCCCATGGGGACCAGAGAGCTGCTGATGAGAAGCTCCTGCCACCACAATACCACTTCTGATGCTGCAAAGAGATTTTTTTTGCCCCCTTGGTAGCTGAATTGTACATATATTACACCTTTTCTCTAATATTTGAAACTAACACCTTGTAACAATCCCACATTTTTTCACCATGTCAATATCAGGGACCACGTGGGCAAGGTTCAAACCACAAGAGCTACCTATCATGTAGCTGAAGGATGCTCTGATATCCCTATGGAGATAAGATGCTAGGACTTCTCCCTATTTAGGAAAAAAGTGTTCCATAGGAAAAGAGAATAACTATATTGAGATTTTTTAACCTAATAGTGACAGTCTTGAAATAATTCCAACAAGGGCATATTAAGTTTTCTAATTTCTAATTCACGCTTTCTAAAAGCAAAGACTGTTTGAATCATATTAAGCTCCAAATTCTAATCTAGCATCTAGCAGACTCAAGAAAAAAAAAATGGAAGTAGTAGTATAGTTGAAAGAATTAACCACAAAAGGGTAGTTACCAAGGCAAAAACTAGAAGACAAATGGAACTTTGCACATCAAACATCAAACAGAAAACTCACCAATAAAAAGGTATGTTTTGGCAGTTTCTAAGTGGTAGGCCTCAGATTTGCTGTCACAAATTATCTGCCATTGTGCTATGACACACCCACCTATAATCCTAGCAACTTAAGAAGCTAAGGGGAGAAGAAGGCAAGTGGAATCCAGCCTGGATGACTTAGAAAAATTCTGTTTCAAAACAGAAAGAGCTGAGGATGTAGCTCAGTGGTAGAATCCCCAATACAAACCCACCAACCAATCCTTTCCTAAATCTCATCTGGAGATGACCTAATAGAGCTGAAGTGGGTCCTGCAACCTGTTTTTCTCTCACTGTCCCAGTGATTATCATGTAACCAAGTCTGGGAACAACTGCTTTAGGATCACACAGTACCTGAGGGACTTTGCTCAACTCACTGCAGAAACAGCAAGTACATGTCATTTATTCAACATCCCATCTATTACCCGAAGCCCTACTGTGCTGATGCTGTTAGAAAGCCCCAGGAAAAACTGCTAAATAAACCACCGTTCACAGCACTTGATTCACTATTTCAATATTCCAATAACCAGGAATTTTACCAAAGTCATACTAACTGTTAAGCGGTATTTCTTGTGTCTAATTCTAAACTCAAGGGGTACACAAACACTTGTATACTGATAAATAAAAATAAGTTGCTACTTTCTGAAATAATGCATGGTGCTATGGGTGAGAGTTTTGATGCAGGTATCAGAAGACAAATATTTGAGTCAGTTTTGTGCCTGGTGTTTTAAGAGTACCATGGTCTTTACTCTTATTGGGGACAGAAAATAATGCTTATACCTAAATCACAACATGATTCCAAAACTTCTGTGGCTCCTCATGGAAAAAAAAAAAAAAAAAAAAAACAAGAAGGGACCCAGCATGAGTTGGAACAACTCAGCAAGGCAGCAGCTGCAGGTGGGACTTCTGATGGGCTCCAAAAGATGGACAGCTGCAACTAAACCAAAAATGAACGGGAAAGGGTGCACCAGGAAGTGGGAGCCCCAAGAGCATACACAGAGACTGGGAAGAGAGCCACTTGCAAGGAAAGAGTTGGTGTTACTATACTGGAGAACAGCAACGGCACTGGCGACAAGTCTCCAAAACTGAGCCAAATGATGTGGTGAAACAAGAACATGACAGAATTCCTTCTGAGGAATATCTAGAGGAAAGTGGTATTTTTTAAGATTAGCCCAACAGCCACCATCAGGATGGACGAGAAAAGAGAAAAAGAGACCAACTTATGAAACAGCATCCCCAGGACTGGAAAGAAATACAGCTTGCAAAAGGTACTTATAGCTGTGAACACTAAAAAAATCTGTCTCAAGACCTTTGCAGTAATACACAGGACCTGTCTAATTCAAACTAAAGGGAAAAATGAAAAAAAAAAAAAAAACAGGCAAAATTGGTGATATAGACTTTTGGAAAGTGGTCTGCTTTGCCTCTCAGTGAAATCTGGGCCAAATTGAGGATACCAGCTGTTATCTGATATTTTTACAGGAACCAAATGAGGGTGGGGAAAGTAGTAGCCTGCTGCTCACCCATCACCCCACCCGCATTTCAGAAAATCAGAAGAGGAATAGCAGATGTCACAGTATAAAAGCCACAAGGCATTACTGTCCTTTCTTCCACATTTTCAGCCCAAGCAGTTGGGCTCTGAAGAAAGAAGTCTGGATCATGGACAGTAAGTAAGCAGCTGTCATCAATGGTCTCTTGAAAACCTTGGACATTTCTCTTAGGGGGATCAGTTTCCTCTGCATTTCTACCTTATTCTGAATCATTACAGCAGTTGGGATATATGCAAAAGAACTAAAAATGAAATGAGGATGACTTGTCTCGAGTGCAGAAAAGGGTGTTTCCTGGGCACAGCCATTTCAACCATAAACCCCAAGCTTGTCTTAACCACATCTCAAGTCCTCAGCCTAAGACATACCGAGATCCAGGACTCCTGCTAATTTAAGCTGGGGAAGGGGATACCTGCACAGATATGCAGGAAATAGACAAAACAGTCTATAGACAACTAGATGCTGGATGTCCTTCATATATATACACATATATACACACATATATATATATCATATATAATACTTGATTATTACTTATTAGTATTATTAAAATATTAATATCTTGGCACAAAAAATATAAAAGGTGTGAACAATTCATAAAAAGCAATTTAGATTTTAAAGAAATTCAAAGGAAACTTAAGTTTTTATTATCTTTGTACTAAAAATCTAATTTTCTAGTTCATTTTCTGCCTTAAGGGTAAAATCTTTTACTTCATTTTTTAAAAAAGTCCAAGGAACACACAGAATTCTTGGACACCTTACATTTTAGTGTATTTGGGAGCCACCATGAAGTTTTCTTTAGCGAAAACACAGCTGATGGGACTTTTTTTTTTTTTATGGGCCAATAAATATAAAGTAAAAGATGTCAAAACTACCCAGGGTTAACGAATTACCTTAACTGACAATTCTAAAAGAAGTAACTTTTAAGCACAAAGATGACACTGCATTTCCAGATACCTGAAAAAAAAAGAGCACAAATCTTCTAGACAAGTCTCTAAGCAAGATGAATGCCACAGTCAGCCTTGACTAACTTCCCCTCACCACTTCAGGCTATAGTGTGAGCTGATTTCTTAAATCACTGGTAGAAAACAGGTTCCAACTTGAGTCAATTGATAAAGGTTGTCTGGAACACTATTTTGAAAAATATTTGGGAGCCACATCTAGACTCAATGAGAAAGAGTTTCATGATTGATTGGCAATGTCTACGCTGGGCAGGAGAGTAAATTGACGGTATGGGTTCTAACAATTTGCTAGAAGCAACATCACTTGTATTTTCTAAAGGAAAAGAAATCTATACTATAAACTAGATCAACTTCTTATCCAGAGAGAATCCACATAAGAATTTAAAAAACACACTAAAGCAGAGAAGTATCCACAAAATTATTTACTATATGTCTTGAAAATAAAAATATAAGAGGAAAAAATAGCCCATGTATCAGGTAAGCTTTCTAATCACCTTCCTCAAAGTAAGCTGAATCTACTAGAACAGAGTTAGAGCACAGCCCAACCACCAAATCCAGAATGCTACCTGTTTTTGCATGACCGGTGACCTAAGAATGTTCTTTACGTTTTTTAACTTGGGGGAAAAACTTTGTGAAACACAAATATAAATTCAAGTTTCATTGTCCATACATAACGTTTTCTTAGATACAGCCACATACATTCATTTATGTAGTGTCTATAGATACTTTCATGATTCCAGGGCAGAGACTGAAAATTCTAGGACAAGAAATTGTGACAGAAGCTACACTTGCATGCAAACCCTTTATAGAACACAACTACCAATCCCTGCACTCAGGACAAGTCTAAGGATTCTTCAAGTAATTCTCTTTAGGCAAGGAGATTTAATTCAGTAGGCTTCATGAAGTACTTATTTAGCCACTCAGGCCTTTACTGATATGTGATTACAATCACATATAGTATTCATTAATAAAGTTTCCCCATTGTGCTACAAACAAAAATGTTTTCTGTCTCCCAGAAAAGTGTTTGTAAGGACTCAAAATAAATACAGGAAAGTAAACCTTAATTTTTTAAACTTCTGTTCTACAAGCAGATTTAAAAGAACTTTAAACATACTTTTATTGTTTTGGTTTGAAGTCTCAATCCATTCAGGGTGTTGATAGCTTTCTCTGCATCCTTGGGGTCAATGTAGTTCACAAAGCCATATCCCAAGCTCTGCCCTGATGGAAGGGAAGGGGAAAAAGGCACACATTAGTTCTACACCACTGACACAGAACTTTCACTCTGCCATAGGGTCTTATCATTAACACCAGCATGTTTTCTCAAAGGAACTCTCCATCATTCTTACAGAATTATACGTGTAGTCTTTCTTCATCTCCTGTCTACTGTATTTGCAGTTGAAATATCAGAACTCTTCAAGCAGTGCCATTTAAAACAAACAAACAAAAAACCCGCACACATCCCAGGGGGGAGTTCCATCCGTACACAGGGCCTGCCTAAGCCTGAGCGCCCTAGCAGGGAGGCAACATTCGGCTTCAGCAAACAGGTGCAAATCGTTGTGGAGCTACTGAGAGGGTGTAACCAGCAAGACCTCTTCAGCTTCTGTGTCCTTATCCATAAAATGTGAAGACAGCAAACAAACATCAACCAAGAATCTGCCAGCATGCTGTAGTAAACTGCACCTGGGCACATTTAACAAGTATAATTATTTCAGAGTCTAGAACAGTAAAAAGACTGTGTATATGGTGTCACATGCCACATTTCAGTCAAGGATGGACTAATATGTGATGGTAGTCCCATAAGATTCTAATAGAGGCCAGACATGGTGGCACATGCCTGTAATCTCAGTAGCTGGGGAGGCTGAGGCAGGAGGATGGCAAGTTCAAAGCCAGCCTCAACAACTTAGTGAGGCCCTAAGCAACTCAGCGAGACTCAATCTCCAAATAAAATATATAAAAGGGCTAGAGATGTTGCTCAGTAGTTGAGCTCCTCTAGGTTCAATCCTGGAAACAACAACAAAAAGTTTCTAAGAGTTGAAAATCTCTATCACCTAGTGACATAGTGTTATAGCTATGATAACAGCATAGCATAATGCATTACTCATGTTTGTGCTGATGCTGGTGTAAACCAACTTACTGCACTACCATTCACAAAAGTACAGTACAATGATTTACAGTGCATAATACTTGACAACGATAATAAACTATGTTACCGATTTTAGCATTTCCTATGTGTTTAATCGTTATTTTAGAGCATACGGCTATTTATTAAAATAAAGTTTCCTACACAACAGTATGCCATGTTATGCCAGCAACAGCCTCTTGCATCTTGGGTCTTCCACATTTTGATGGCATAAAGAGGCCACATCATGTGATTAACCTATACCTTCTAGGTTTGTATACGTATACACTATGGGATTCATAGGATGATAGATCTAATAATGTATCACTGAAAATGTGTCTCCATCATTAAGCAACACAAGAATACATATACACATATGCCCATTTACTGTAGAGGAAGGTTTATTCAAATAAACTCAAATCTTCTACAGGGTTTTTTAATGATTTAGTAAGGAATACAAGAAAATACAGACACAGAGGTTTCACTGAGGACATCCTAACCAACAAGAACAGGTGGAAAGGAGAATAAAGCATAAACAGAAATAAGACATTGACAGTAAGAACTACTTCAAAGCAAGTCGTCATTCTTCACCCCATCATTTGGGTGCTCTCGCCTCTGGCTCAATGATGCCCCAACTTGCAAAAAATGGGAGGCATCAAACATGGGTAAGCCACATCACTCCCAAAGTCTCAATATTCACCTTAGGCAAAGTTTCTCAGTTTAAAAAGGTATGAAGCAGTATACAGGTGACAAACATGGGAGTAAGGAAAGGTTAGACAATTAACAATTCCTAGGAAGTACAAACACTTTTATTAATTACTATTTTTGCATCAGTTGAATAGTAAAGCAAAGGTTCTCTCCTTATTGGGGCACTTGTAGTCCAAGTAGCTATGAATATGGATATTTAGGACAGCTTTTTTTTTTTTTTTAAATCAAAATGTATTTTCTTCTTGTTTTTCAAAAAGAATGAAGAGGACTGGAGTTGTGGCTCAGTGGCAGAGAGCTTGGCTAGCACGCATGAGGCATTGGGTTCAATCCTCAGCACCACGTAAGAAAAAATAAAGGTATGTGTCCATCTACAACTAAAAAAAGAAATTATTTAAAAAAAAAAAACCCTTAGAGTTCTTCCCAGTATCAAAAAAAAAAAAAGTGAGAGAAAGTTAAAAACTCAGCTCATTTTGTTTCCTTTGCAATAAAATTCAGAGGTTTTATTTCACTCACAGTTCTTAAAAAAAAAGGCTCAAGGCTCAAGTTAAACTATTGTATTTTCAAGCATGCAGTTCTTTTGCCAATTTGACAGTTCATTTGTTTACTGCATGCAGGGATCCCTCTTATGAAACGTGTTGCAGTTCCACTGTCAGTGAACAAGATTCAAATTGGCAGAACACAACAAACTCTCAAGGAACCAACTAACGATGGAATGAATATGGGCTTTGGAGAAAGATGCACCCGAGTTCTGATCTCAACTCACCCATTTACCAATTGTGTGACTTTGAAAAAACTACTTAACCTCTCTGAACCACAGCTTCCTAATATCTAAAATGAGGATAATAATTTCTACCAAATTAGTTACTTAGATGGTGAGGATGATACTCAATATTAATGTCAATCACCCTATCAAAAATTAGTATGAAGAAAATTTATCTACTACATGTTAAAGTGTTTTAAGTGTACTAACAAAGTTTAATTGGGAAGGTGCTATAAATATAATGGGAAAAGGAAGAGGCAAGACAAACATCACAATTGGGTAGTTTTGTCTCACTGCTCTTCTATGACAAAATAAACCAAATTATCCATTGTACCGCATAAAGAGTCCAATTCTTCTACCTTACTGACACTACCCTTCCACCCACGTTGTAGCTCCTTCTAATCATAGTGCATTCTCAACCTCAGCTGCACACTGGAATCATCCAGAACACCCTGAAAAGCAAAATGATGCCCCAATCCCACAGTCAGAGATTCTCATTTTAGTATTCTATTATGAAGTATGGGAACCAACTTTTTAAATTAAAATCTTGGTGATTCTACTGTACAACAATGTTGAGAACTGGCAGCTACAGGGGGCTTCTGGAAATCCTGAGAGGGACCCAATACTGAAGATGGTCTGGGCATGTGAAGTGACTGTACAGAGAAGGCCACCTTTCACCAGCTGCCCCCCCTTTTATTAAGGGGGGAGGTGGGGACTAAAGATTGATCACAAGGGCACTTTACCACTGATCTACATTCCCAGTACTTTATTTTGAGACAGGATCTTGCTAAGTTGCTTAGGGCCTCGCTAAGTTGCTGAAGCTGGCCTCAATCTTGTAATTCTCCCATCTCAGCCACAGGACTTACTAGAATTACATGCGTGTACCACTGCATCCAGCTACCAGTTGCGTTTTTAAGATCTATATGGATGCTTTTTTCCTAAACCCTTCATGTTATGAATTACTTAGGAAACTGTTCACTGGCCTCCTAAGGTCAGTATGGGGCACAGCAGTGCCTGGTGGGGCTGGATCACTGTATAAAGTGAAAAACCTGTTTTGTACTCACTTTGCTACCTTCCAGGCTGGCCTCAGAGTCTTTCCATTTAGCAAAGCAACAGGTATCAAAGATTTGTTAAATGACTCAATGAGAAGCTTAATGATACTCTATTTATTTAACCAAATGTATTACTTTTAAAACCCACTGTCAGAGAGTCCATCCATGAATGTGCCTTTGACTTGACTCACACAATTATGGCTAGTAAACAAATCAAATGTCTACAACCTATAATCTGACTATACTGAACAAATATTTGTCATCAAATAACCTCTCCTTCTCGTAAGAATTTTCTAATTTGACTAATGGCATTATTAGTAAAAGTGCCATCCATCAATTAGAATGTGTTCAAAGGAAGCAAAATTTTACTATTATCCTACACAAAATAACATGAAAGAGGCTATCTACTGCTAAAAGGCTGCACTCTAAGTCCACTGTTGGCATATTAAATTAAAATGTTGGCATATAAATGCAAGGAAGTTTTGAACTTTATATAGATTTTTGTTTTAAGTCAGCCAAGTCAGCAAATATTTATTAGATGCCTAAAATATACAAAATCATCACAGACAGTACTCTCCCCATTCTCACCTTTCAGCTACATATAATTTGCTGTTTAGTTGTAGTCTCACATTAATCATGTTTGATATTCAGAAAAGGGTAAAAATTATACCTCAAGCTTGGCAAGGTCAATTTGTTTCTATGATTCAAAAAGGAAAAGCATAAAGTTGTGATGTCAGGCTTTGTAACCCAGGACTATCAAATGCTGTGTTCTCCCCTGAATCTAAAGTACTTTCAACATGCCTGTAATGCCACCAAGCATCTTCTTACAAAAAAAAAAAAAAAAGTACTGGTTGCCCAGAATCTCAAGTTTCTGTGTATTTTTGTGCAAATACCAGTTTCTCTATATATGGATTTCCAAGCCCACTTTTCATTCTTGTGACACACACAAACACACACACCCCAAAAATATATTGCTGGGTTGGGTGTCATGCAGGGTACCAGGGACTGAATTCAGAGGCACTTAACCACTAAGTCACATCCCTAGCCCTTTTTTGTGTGTGTGTGTTTTATTTAGAGACATGATTCTCACTGAGTTGCTTAGGGCCTCACTAAGTTGCTGACGCTGGCTTTGAACTCTCAATCCTCCTACCTCAACCTCCCAAGCAGCTGGGACTATAGGCATGCACCATCACACCAAGCAATAAATTATATCTTATTTGTAAAACATTTCTGGTTATAAATGAATGCAGATCTTTAAAAAACTAATAGTAGTGTCAAAATGAAACACCAAGGAAAAAACACTTAACCAGAATTCTCTTTCCCACTCTCCTGTTCATCAGTTACCCATCACCATGAGCCACCAGGGAAAGCTTGGAAACCAAGTGCCATTGATCCGTATCATCCAAATCTATTTTTTAACTCACTCTGAATTTAGAATGTGCATATTGATAATCCTAAAACCAAGAAACACTTCTTTAAAAATTTTATAAAACTCTACATTTAAATTCCAAATATAACCATCATGGAAACCAACATGACTTAAAAGAAAATTCTGACTAAAATGACAAAGCTATGGCTC